CACATAATCTTAAATATTAATAATGTGTTCAAATATATATTTTCTCTACTATTAAAAATTTGATTTAAATTCCGATAATATATACTTTTGGATTTGCATGATATGTATTTGAATATGAAAATTATATTATAAATTGACTTATACTAGTTTTAGGATCCATGTTAAGTAGTATTTTAAAATTTAACGGGTTACTAATTAATATTTAAATATTTATTTTGTTATTTTTATATTATTTACCCCGTATTAACGCGGGTTCTATTCTAGTTAATATATAAGGGATCTACCATTTCCTATTGAGAAAATTGTAAAATATCATAAATTGGAAAATATCATAATATATGTAGAATAAAATATATTATGAGATCTACCCTTTCTTATTAAAAAAAAATTTGTGAAATCTATATATAATGAGATCTACCATTTTGTTGAGATTTCTTACCGTTACTACCGATTTGGTCACTCCGAAACCTAGTAAGTGTCGCCTTCTTGTTGTGATGCTTCTCTGTCCATCATCACGTCGTAGCCACTCTAGGTTTGGTTTTTTACTTTTTGCCGGTTTTCAATTTCCCGGAAAAGGAAATAAATGAGTTCAATTAAGAACTAACAAAAAAGGAAATATATATATATAAATAGAAAAGAGTACTCTTGTGTATCTCTACTAAAGTAGTAAAAAGGTAATTAAAGAATGATCCCATTATGGAAATGTTTCAGAATAGGAAACATAATCAATGGAGCCCAAAAAGGAAAAAAAGTTAAATGTTGAGAGATGAGAATAGTATAAAGAGATGAAGATGCAAACAATCTCTGTCTTTCGTATTAATTTTCTTGGTTACAATATGGGAGGCCTAAAACGTAAGATCAAGATTGAGAAAATCGAAAAGAAAACAGTTAAATCGGTTGCTTTCACCAAACGCCGTAACGGTCTCTTCCGTAAAGCAACAGAGCTCTGTCTTCAGTCTCCAAACACTCAAATCGCAATCTTAACGACGCCTCCTTCTTCCAAGTCTCATGCTTCTTTCTACTCTTTCGGCCACTCCTCTGTCGACAACGTCGTCTCTTCTCTGCTCAACGATCACTCTCCTCTTCCGACAAACCAAGAAGAGAACATGTCAGCTGCCGGATTAGGGTTTTGGTGGGAGGACGAAGCTCTTATTAACACATCGGAGAACGTCGAAGAACTGAAAGATGCGATCGATGCGGTCTCGACTATGTTGAACAGTGTGAAGCTACGGTTAGATGATGCTGTGAAGAGTACTTATCAAAGAGATCATGGAGCTTTAGTGATTCATGATCAGGAGGACAATCTTCAACTTTGCAACACCAATACGAACAACAACGTCGAAGAGACTACGAATCAAATTACAAATTTTGAAGGASCCTCYGGTTCTGGAACTTTGGTACAYAATCTTCAGCTTTGCAACACCAATACGAACAACAACGTCGAAGAGGCTACGAATCAAGTTCCTAATTTTGAAGGAGCCTCTGGTTCTGGAACTTTGGTACTGATCGGGGAGGAAAATTTCTACTTTGATGATATTCTTAACGAAATTGATCCACTTTGATTTGATGATGTTATATTATGCATATTTTAATTAGGTTAGGTGGGTATCATGTCATTAAATTTAATAAAAAAATATATATATTTACCTGATTTTTCGCTGATTCGTCTCACCCCGATGAAACGCTTGAGACCGGATCATGCGGCCACGTGTCAACAATCAATTGGACCGTTTTTTTCTGCCCCAAACCCAAAAAAGGTCATAGATTATTCTTCTTCTTCAAGCAGAGTCGTTCTCAAACGCCACGGATGCCTCCGAACTCGCTAACAACCCTCAATTGTTTCAATACCTCAACGTAAGTCTCCGATTTCCCTTCCCTAAGATCTAAATAGCTCTTCCAGCCTAAAGTTTTTAAGTCGATTTGAATGGAAACTGAACTCCTTTCCCGTAATCTCACACTATCCGAAGTAGAAGTTGTCTCCATGTTCTGTCTGAAATTATTAGAAACCGTTGCTTGATTCCTGTTTTGGAGGCATATTAAGATATGATGAGCAAAAAAATTGTAAAATTTGGTGGTTTAAGATTGCTAATCGTTCTCATCATGTGTGGTTTAGTTAGGTCGATTATAATCGAGAGTTGAAGTAAAAGTGTAGCAGTTTGATTTGTTCCTTTGTCATGGGTTTATTATGCATTTAGTTAAAATGTTGATAAAAGTGTATGTGTGGTGATTTGTGGCAGCAACAAAAAGAGAAGGCGATGGTGAACCAAGCGGCGGCGAAGCTGACGAGCGTGTGCTGGGACAAATGCATCACAGACAAACCGAGGCTTGTAAGCTATTTTCAGACGTGACTTCATTGTCCAAAATAAACCCGGATTGCAACCGTAAAGATTATTTATGCATAGTCGGAGTTTCTTTCACCTATTTTCTCGAATGTTAATGAATGTGATTGTTATGAATGTTGTCAGGAAATGTGTTCCTGAAGCATAGATATGAGCTAAGACTGATCCCGCGCGATAGAGTGGAGCTGCTTTTATTATGGATCCATGAATGTCATAAGCAGTGAGTAAAAAACTCAGTTCAATACCACTTTAAAAGAATACATATTGAAATGCTTAATATACACAGCTTGCTATTTGAATAAATGTGTTGATGCTCACATCCTTTTAGGGAATTTGATCGATGAAAAAGTTTTATGAATGTGTATGATTCGTATATTCTTTTATATAATGTATGTGCACTAAATAGAGAGCATGCTTCTTTCTATCTATGAATGTGAACTTCAAACGTTTATGCAACACCGTAAAAATTTGGCACAATTGAAGACTAAAGACGATTTAATTATGTTTTTTTATCATACTTTTATATGTTTTTTAATTTTGTATAATTGTGTTATTCAAGTTTTAATAAAATCTTCTATATTCATAAATACGAATTTGATTTTCTTTCATTTTATTTTTAATAAAAAAACTTTAAACCCCATTGAGTATCCTTTAAAACTCATTGAGTATCATCATTAGACATACAAAACTTAAGAAGTTCTTCATGAGTCTCA